AAGTAGGGACCAGAAACTCCCTAGTCCATTTCTGTTCCTGGAAATTCCTTGTTTAATCTATACTTTTGCTATGTAACTTGTTTTCCCATTTGAACCCTATTTAATCAATATTAACTAAGTGACTGTACTTGTGATCTTATTGGTTGGTCATTGTTTTGTCCCACCTCATGGCCACCTTGTGATTTTTCCATTGGATCTTATTAGTTGACTATAGTTTTGTCCCACTTTTGTACCCACCTCACCTTGTGGCTTTGCTCCATAAAAACCCTATGGGGCCTAGGGCTCCAGGCAACCCACTTTCCAGGTGTTCCCTCCTATCCCTCTCAGGCAGGAGGTGTCTCTCTCTCAATAAATATTCCTTGCTGTTATCCTCCGTTGTTCCTAGAATTCATTCTTCAATTTTAGAGAACATGAATTAGCATTTTGGATATCTAGCAGGTTATAATATTTTCTCCTTTTATGGATTATTTTGCTTATTTGAATTAATTGGTGTCCCATATCATTAGGAGAGCCAACTTGCAGGGCATGCCACCTAGACACTCCAGGGGGCCGGGGATTTAGCTCAGTGTTTCTGCCACCTGCCTCACAAGTGCAAGGTCCCAAGTTCGATCCCTGGTACCAAAAAAGAGACTCCATTCATTTTCTATTGCAACAAACGTAATATGCCTTCTTGTTCTGTGAACATTCTCTCCCCAGCACATGGCTAGGAAGGGATTCTATTCAACACTGAAGGTGTGTATTTTTGTGTCAGTTAACTAGTTAGGGAAACTGTGAAAGCAGTATTTGATAACATAAATTCTAAGCCAAATATTCTCTCTCTTTTTTTTTTTTTCTTTTTTTTTTGGTACTGGGGATTGAACTCGGGTCCTTGTGGTTGCACAGCAGGCAACGAAACCACTGAGCTAAATCCCCAGCCCTAAGCCAAATATTCTCATAAGAGCATATTCTGAATGCTTCTGAGACAAAGTTCAGATAATGACATGACGCAAAATAGTGTGACAGTGGTGACTTTAACATTTGATTTGCTAATAGAAAAAAAAGACTCAGTAAGAGTTTACTAAGCTTTTCCTAAAGTTACATTGCTTCAAAAACCTATAAAAGATGGGCCGGGGATTTAGCTCAGTGGTTTTGCCACCTGCTGCGCAAGCGCAAGGACCCGAGTTCGAGCCCCGGTACCAAAACAAAAAAACAAAAAAAAAAACCTATAAAAGTTGAAGTATCTCAGTGTTGTTAAAGGGAACTAGCCATCTGGTCACCTTCCTAGCCACAAAAAAGAAACCAAGGCTGGCAGTTTTGTAGTCTCAGAGTCATCCCAAATGTTTCTTTTCCAGTTTAATGTGGAACAGGTAGATTTGGTGAATTAACCATTCAGCATGATTGTTTTTTAGTGTATGATTTTTTTTTTTCTTTTGTACTGGGGATCAAACCCGGTACCTTGCCCTTGAGAGGCAGGCGGAGGAACCACTGAGCTAAATCCCCAGCCCAGTCAAGCTTGTTTCTTAAAACAATGGCCTGCTAAATTCACAACCACACCACCACACCACACCACTGCTCTGTTGGAACACACAGCTACCTCGATCATAAACTCTCAGCACCAATAATGAATTAAAGAGGCAGAGTTTAAAATAAAGGAAGAAGGCCGGGGATTTAGCTCAGTGGTTCCAGCACCTCCTGTGCAAGCGCACGGTCCTGAGTTTGATCCTTGGTATCAAAAAAATAAAACAAAACAAAAATAAAATTTAAAATAAAGAAATAAAATAAAGGAAGATAGTTTATTTGGAAAGCGTGGAAAAAAGAGAAGATAGACAGCTGCTCTGGAAGTGTAGGGGGCATTAGAAAAGGAATACCTGTGGGGTTTTGTTCCCAGCTCCTTTTTTATTAAGACTGGTGTCCCTGCCTCACATCGGGCATCTGGTAGCCTGGGTACCTTTGTCTACATGTTTTTGGTCATTTGATTTCTTCCTGCCCTTTTGTAATGGACAAATGTGGGAAGAGGGATACTCATAGAGAAGGGCAGTTTAGAGTTAGAAATGAAGTAAAGGGGACGTGTGTATCTGATGCAGTGGTATAGTGATGCTAAGGAGAGACTATACATATAAGTATATACGTATAGATGTGTCTTTTATATATATTAAACGAGTCCTTAGGTGGCTGTCTCTTATCTCCTTTGTATTTTATCAGGTGAAGGTGAGAGCTGTTTACCCTGGTTTTTTATGTTTCTGGGTACATCCCTGTTTTGTCTGTTGGGTCTTCCTATTAAATTCTTATGTTAAATGTGTTACCTGGCACCTTCCCGGCCCTAGTTTTTCTCTTTATTGATCTTTGTCTTTCTAATTGTTGGGAGTCTAACTGCAGAGGCAAAAGTGGCCCTTCCTCAGGGTCAGCTGGGCTATTTACTTATCTCTTGCCTTTCTTTTTCTGTTGTTGGTTTCCTCAAGCAGTTGGTAATTCTCAGTTATTCGTTCATGTTGGATCTGAGATCAGTGTTTCACAGCCTTGCTTTTGATGTGGCCTTCCTAAGGGGCCCTTTCAGATGTTTTTCCCCCCTAATCACACCCCATCAAAGTTTAATGTCACAGCTAGTCATGGTGGGACCCACTTGTAATCACAGCATGCTGGGAGGATGAGACGGGGGGGGGGGCATGGCAAGTTTGAACCCAGCTTGGCCGATTTTGCTGCAACTTAGTGATATAGGGCACCAGGTAATCCAAATGATGTAAATAATCCAAACAAGGGAAATATTATAACCCCAAACCTGCTAGATATCTAAAACCCATGTTTCTATTCTCTAAAATCAAAGAATGAATTCTACAAACAACAGAGGTTAAGAGTAGGAAATATTTACTGAGGGAAAGACAGCTCCTGCCTGAGAGGGACAGGAGGGAACATCCGGAAAGTGGGTTGCCACAAACCCTGTGTTGTGCCCAGATCGCGAGGTCCCCAAAGACCACCAAGGAACCGATTCCAATGCAAACACACGAGGGTCGTTTATTCAAGCTCGAGCAGGGACTCTCAACTGTCAGCGACGCAGCGGGTCAAAATTGAGAGCCCTGACTCTAAAACACCAGGGGTTTTTATAGAGGTTACAGCAAGGCGCGGGGTTTCGAAAAGGCGCGGGGTTTCAAATCACACGCAAATCACACAATTGGCTAGCATTTAGCAAGTTTTAAAAGTTTAAACCTAATTGGCTGGGCCTTGCGCGCTGAACTGCAAACGGCTGCTCAAGTCATCGAAAAGAACATCTGGGATACTGGGGTATTGGGGTAACTACTGATTAGCTGTTGCAGGTCATCGAGAAGAGCATCTGGGACATTGAGGCAGCTACCGATTAGCTGTTGCTAGGCTAGTTGCTAGGGGACTGCTGGACATTATCACAGGCAGGTGGCCAAAGTGCATCTTGTGGTTTTTCTTGGAACTAGAATTTATGTCCAGGCCACCTTTACTCTAAAATGGGGCCAAAATTTTAAAATGGAGTCACTCAGGTCTCACACCTGGTCCCCAGGGGGTTTTATGGAAGCAAAGCCACAAGTGAGGCAGGTACAAAAGTGGGACAAAACTATAGTCAACTAATAAGATCCAATGGAAAATCAAAAGGTGGGCATGAGGTGGGACAAAATCATGATCAACCAATAAGATTACAAGTACAGTCACCCAGGTAATATTGATTAAATAAGGAAACAGGTCACGAAGCAAGGGTACAAAGAGGAGTCTACAGAGAGGAAATGGGCTAGGGAGACTTTGGTCCCCACTTAAGGTGATTGATGTCTATTTAGAATATCAATCACTGCTATTTATCTCTAGGGGAAGTATGTGAGTGTAGTACTTTTTCTTTTTGAGTCTTGGCTTTGAGTAGATGGGGCTCAAGTGTCTAATGTTTGACTCCCTCTAGCTGCCTACAACATATCCAATTAACTTAGCTGTCTACAATATTATTAGTAACACTTTATTTCAAAATAAAAATAAAAAGAGCTCAGGATGTAGCTCAGTGCAAAGGCCCTGGATTCAATTCCCAGGTGCGCGCGTGCACGCGCACACACACACACACACAGACACACACACTCACACTCACGTGTTAATGTCACAGTAATGCTGTATATCTGCGTGTCCCCTCTTACCCACCCAGAGCACTTTCTTCAGTGCAGAAGGTCATACCCCTCATCTGCTGGAACACCACCCAGCCAGGGGACATTTTCATCCAAGAAGAAGAGCTTCACTCAGCCAGAAAGGAGTAAAAATTCTTCCTGGAGGAACTGCATGCTTTTCTTCCAGGATGATTTACATACCAAAACACAAGAGTAGTTTTTGAACTCCTGTATTTACATCAGTAAATAAACAAGGGCAATAATGGGCTATCCATTGGTCCCTCCACAAACCTTCGAAGACCGATGGATGCCCGGCAGCACCAGTCTCAAAGTCCTAACCCCTAAAGATCTCCTAGATCATATTCAGACATTGTAAGAAGTAGGACCAGGAAAGGGGAAGTTCATCTTGGCCTCCACTCTCCGGGATCTGCTCTTACTCCTTCCGAAACAGCGAGGACGGTAACCACTGAGAGCTCGGTCTTCCCTGTCCTAGAGCGGCTGAGCGGGCCTCACTTCCGGCTTGTGTCTGGCTGCCGGGTGCGGCCAGGAGGACGGCCAAGAGGGCCTCAGGCACCTGATTTCCCGGAGGGGGGGGGCCTTTTAGGGCCTCAGGATAGGGGTCCACTAGCAGTGAGAGAGGGATGGGGGGGGGCTGGGGAAGTTGGGGTGTGGTCACGAGGTAGGGCCTGAGGAGGACGTGGGGTGTGGTCAGGAGTAAGGATCTGTGGTGTGAGTGGGGGCCATCGGTAGGGTCTAAGGAAGCTGTGGGGGCAGGGCGGGGTCTGTGGCTGGCAAGGTGCATGGTCACGGGGCGGGGTTTGTGGAGGGAGTTGGGCGTGGTCACGGGGCTGGGTCTAGAAGAGTGTGGGGCGTGGTCACAGAGAGGGTTCTGTTGATGGTGTGGGCGTGTCACCGGGCCTGGGGAGGGTCGGGGGGGCAAGGTCGGCTGCAGGCGGATGTATCTTCCCTGGACTGTAGGGTGTGCGGGTCCGAAGGGGGCGAGACCCCATCATTAGCCTCATCGTATGCCCTCCCTTTCCTAGTTTTCAGTTTCAGAAAGCTCAGCAGTGCCAGTCACTACGGAGGCTTCCTGGGACATATCCCAACACTAAGAGAAAAAGAGGTGAAAGAAAAATCATTCCTTCATTTATTCGTTCCATCTGTACGTCCCTTCTGCCTTTGCCTAGCATTTAGTGTCCTGCAGGTGATGATGCCTTGTCCCCAGATCTCTGCCCCACTCCCCACCAGGATCTCATTGTGAAGGGAGGCAGGGGAAGGCCGCAAGAGTGACAGGAGGAGCAGAGCCCTGCTCTGACTCGGGAAGGACCCTCCTGGCAAGATAACACCTCGAGGTGGAGAGGTGGATGGAAAACAGCACCTTGGCCACTGTCCCCACCTGTTTTGCTTCCAGCTCACTCTCTGAAGGCACCCTGAGCAGTCTTTGCTATTTTTCCTCAGCATTTATTTATTTATTTATTTATTTATTTTTGCAGTACTGGGATTGAACCCAGGGCCTTCTAGCAGAACTACATCCCCAGCCGTTTTATTTTTATTTTGAGCCAGAATCTCCCTAAGTCACTATGTTGCCCAGGCTCGGCTTGAATTTATGATGCTGTTGCAGATTACAGGCATGCAGCACCATACCTTGCTACATTAAGACATTTTAAAATCGAAAAAAAAGTTTTACCCATGGTGGGGGCCTGGAGGGGAAGGGTAGGGAGCAAAACCACACTGCCTCCAAGTCAGCTGTGATACATCAAGATGGAGGTGGACCTGAGCAGGCCTGGAAGCCAATTTCAAGTGTGGAGAGGGCAGCTGTAGGCTGAAGGTGGCCTAGGGTGGATCCTGAGGACTGCACAGTTAAGTCCCAAGGGCAGGGGAGTGAGGCTGTGGGAGAAGAAGGAGAAGTGAGAAATCAGCACTTGGCTAGTGGGATGATCAAGGAGGTACTAGATGTGGAGACTGAGGCCAGAGGATCCACAGGCCAGGCAAGTAAGAGGGACAGGGGAAGAGCGCAGCATCTCAGGCCTCAGATGCCCCTTGGAACCCTCCTCTCCCGCTGCCTCAGCCACCACAGATGGTACTGCCCCCCAGAACTGGTCCCTCCCAACTGGCCTTGCAGCCAGGATCAGTCTTTTCCTTTGAAACCACCCCACAGCTCTGCTGCACCTCTTTGATCTCCCTGCCCCAGCCTGGCCCCTGCTTCCCCTGCCCCTAATGGCAGGTTCAGCTGCCTAGGTAGTCCCTTCCTGCATTTCCTCCATGTAGTCTTTGCTGCCCTTTGGTCTCAGCTGATCTCTGGGTCTCTGTCCATGGCTCTGAGATGACCAGCAGCTGTAGCGGTGCATGTCTCCCCTTGGCTGTGCCAAAGGAGAAGTAATTGCCAAATGAGATCTGAAGGATGACAGAAGCCAGCTGGGAAGGGTGGAAAGGAAACAAAAATCCCAAACCTCAGTCAGAGAGGGTAGTGTGTCGACCCAAAGTTTTGGCCAGAGAAGGGTAGAGGCTGAAGGCCAGCCTGTGTGGGAAGCAGAGAATGGAGCTGTCAGTAGGGCCTAGGAAGAAGATGGCCCCAGAGTTTGCCTTGAAGCTGGTGAAGGGGCCTGTTTGGGTGACCTATGAAGGTGGAGGGAAACAGGTGTTTGGGGAGGTGGGACCACAAGGTGGGGTAACAGACATGTTGCCATCAGCCAGATGCTTCTCAGGGACACCTGCCTGCCTATAGCAAATGCTGTCACCAAGTGTATTTCTTCCAGCCCCTAATTTAAAGCCATAGATACTTGAGCAGTTTTCATGTGCCAGGCAGGAAAACGGGCTCAGAGAGGTGAGGTGACTTGCTCAGGACACATATAGTTGTTATAGAATCCCTGGATGTGACTCAATAGTCTTATTTTCCGTGCCCCCTTCCCAAGGCACTGATTTGAGGGGCCTTAGGGAGGAGGGTAAGCTAGTTTGGGGGGAACTTGCCCTGAGGAAGAAGGGGAGGGAAAGCCAGTCAACAGCACAAGGAGTGGACAAAGCTGAGGGTGTTGGTAGGAGGGAATGGTGGTGATGTCATATCTTCAAAAATCAAGCAAGGAGGTAATTTCGGGACTCTCTGGTAGTGCCAGGCTCATGGTGAAAGAAATAAGGGGAGGAGTTCTCCTTCTATAGCACCTGGCTTTCAAACAATACGAAGTCTGAGCCACTGCAGTCAGGGCCAAACCTGGTAGGTAGGCAGCTCTCACTTGCTCTGGTGCTGTCCTTTGTAGCACTACTAGATGTGGTGGCCAAGCCCCATTGAATTGCCCTTCAGGAGCAGCTGGCATCTGTAGCTCCTCCCTAGCACATCCTTAAGGCTAAGAATGGGCTTTTCTTCCTGATCCAGGTCCACTTTGCTATGTGTCCCCTCCACCAGGCTGAGCAGTGTACAGGACCCCAAGGGAGACTCTGGGTTTGAGGGCCACCCCCACCCCCTCTCCCCAGAATCTGCTGGGGAGGACTGGGAGACTTCTGTACAAGGGGAACCTGCCCCTCAGGTGGGATTGAGTCTTCTGGGAAGCAAGGCCTGTGGTTCCAAGATATGTGACTTTTGAGGACATGGCCGTGTACTTCACTTGGGAGGAGGCACAGCACCTGGGTCCCCAGAAGAGAGCACTGTACCCGGATATGGTGCTGGAGAACTACTATACCCTGAGAACTCTGGGTGATCACCAGATGGTAAGCCTCAGGTGCTTGGCTCTCATGACTGGTTGGTCCCCAGTCCATGATGGGGTATCTGAGTCCCAGTAGGGAGTGCCTGGTGGACTCTTCTTTGCCTGTTCTCTTTCCCCTCTGAACCTACGCTGGAGCCCCGTCTTCTCTCATCCTCTGTAGCCCCTGCTCAGGAGCAGTTCTGATTGTTCTCAACTGACCATTCCCTTCTCTATGAACAGGTTTTGTAGTGTCCAGATCCAAGGGCATCTCCCAGCTGGAGGAGAAGGAGATGCCATGGCCCTGCTGGGGTCTTTATATCCAGGTGAGTGGTGAGGTAGTTTCCTAGGGAAGGCAGTGATCCTATATGCATGAGCTGTGAGGCATGTGGCATGGAGATCAGGATGACCCAAACTGTCCTTTACTGGCTCCCTTCCTGCCCCCATCCCTCTAAGTGCAGGTCCACTGTGACATCCCCTGTGCTACTATTTGGGTAGGATGGTCATTTTCTTGGTGACCAAGTGTCCACCTGATGAACTGATTAGAACTTAAAAGTTTCTAAGTATAAACAAAACTTTGCCAGTATTTGTATATTGAGAACATGCCCTCCATCCTGTCCCTGTTTTATACATCAAGCACATATTGAATACCACCTGCATGCAGGCATTCTTCTGCCTGCTGGTTTTGAAAGTAAGCAAAACCAAGCCCTTCAAGAACATTCTAATTTGGAGAGGAATTATCAATCCTGACTTTGATATCCTATTTTTGGTCTTCTTCTTAGAAGACTGGGGGCAGGGACTTTATTCCTCACCCAAACCTCAGCACCAAGAGCATTTGGCAAGAGAACACTGTTAAAATGAACAGATACTGTTAAAATGAGTCCCTATGTTTCTTCAGTTGTTAGTGTCTACTTTGTGCACAGTGCCATCCAGATGCTGCAAAGATGAGTATGAGAAAGCCTGTGCCTCAGTATCTCACAGGCCAGTCAGAGAGAAATGAATACACATGCAACTCACCTCAGTGCAAGAGAAAATGAATAAAATCATTAACAAAAAGGAATATAATGCTGTACTCAGGCTGAGACATATAAGCTGCACAGAAATTTGCTTTGGCTCAGTCATAAAAATAACTGATAGCCCTACCATCTGTGGCTTCAGTTTCCACAGTTTCACAGTAAACCACGGTCTAAAAACATTCAGCAGGCAATTGCAGAAATAATTAACAAGTTTTAAATGCTATACCATTCTGAGTAGTGTGATGAACTCTTGCTGTCTCTCACTATCCCACCTGGAATGTGAATCATTCCTTTGTGCATAGTATCCACTCTGCATACACTACCTGCCTGTTAACCACTTAATACCTGCTTGAGTTATCAAAGTGTTACAGTATCACAGTGCTTGTATTTCAGTAACCCTTACTTTGGTTAATAAGGGCCCCAAATCTCTGGCAATTTATATGAGCCAAAGAGAAGCTGTAAGGTACTTCCTTCAAGTGAAAAACAGATGAAAAAGCATAGTTTATATAGAGTTCAGTATTATCCTCAGTTTCAGGTATTGTGGGGGTCTTAGAACATAACTTCTGTGGACAAGGGGGTTCTGCCTACCTTCCTTTTTCTTTCACAGAGAAGCCTTTGCTTTGTCTTCTTTGTTTCAGATTCTCAGGTCAAGACAAGGTACAAACAGTTAACTCCAAAGGGAAAAAATCTTTTGAAAAAAAATTACAAAGAGTAACCCAGAAAGTTTTCCTAAGAGGCAATCCAAAGGAGTCTGAGTCTAAACTAGCTTATGGGACTGAAATAGGAGCAGAACACTCATGGAAAAAAGTCACAATAAAGGGCAGGAGGAAGTTCTTTTCCCAAAAGAGAGGTTGATGGCGAGTGACCAGCTCTCCCCTCAAAACCAGTTTAGCAGAGAAAGACCAGGAATGCCACAAATTAGAGAAAAATTTGTCTCTTGACACAAAGTTTATTGCTCATCAGAGGGACAGGCCTGCAGAGAGAGCCACTAGATGGAGGACACATGGCCAAGGCTTTCTGTGGGAGCCAGGCCTGAGTGGACAGGAGACAGGTCCTGGTGGGTCAAAGCTCCTTAGATGTCATGTGTGTGGAAAATCTTTCAGCAAAAATTTACACCTTAGTCAACATCAGAAAACTCACCCTTGAGAGAAGACCTGTTGATATATCCAGTGTGGATGAATATTCAATCACAACTCAATCCTGTGGAGAGAAACCCTATATGTGTAATGAATGTGGCATTTGTGATTTCAAGAGGCATCAAAGCTTGTGAAACATCAGAGAATTCACACTGGAGAAAATTCCTGCAGCTGTACTACGTGTGGGAAAGCCTTTAGTGGGAATTCAACCCTTATTAAACATCAGTTGATACATACTAAAGAGAAGCCCTACAAATGTAATGAGTGTGAGAAAGCCTTTAGTCAGAAAGCAAATCTCATTAAGCATCTGAGAACTCATATAGGAGAAAAGCTCTTTGCCTGCAGAGAATGTGGGAAAAGCTTCAGTCAGGCATCACACCTAGCTCACCCTCACAGAATGGATTCTGGAGAGAAAACCCTACAACTGTGAGGAATATAGTAAAGTTTTGGTCAAACATCACACCTGGTTTATCATCAAAAAATATACACTGGAGAGAAGCCTTCTGTATACACTGTGTGTGGAGAGGCTCTATTTAGATGTCACACTTGATTCACCACCATAGAACACATTCAGTAGAGAGGCCCCATGAGTGTCACCAGTGTGAGAAGTGCTGCAGCCAGCGTTCAACCCTTATCAGACATCAAGTTTCCCATACTATGGAGAGTGCATACCACTCCGAATGTGCCAGTCTTTCAGCATGAGCTAGTCTCCCTATCACTATCTCACACATCCCATAGAAAGGAGCCTTTCCATTTGTACAAGAGAAAGCACCTAAGAATGCATAGAAGACAGAAGGACCTTTTTGCTCTAGCTCATCATGCAATATTAGAGTTCCTAAAAGAGAGGACTTGTGGGTGTGACGAATGTGGAGGAACCATTTTGTCGGAGCTCACACCTTTTTTACAGTGAGATCATTCATATGAGTGTAACAGATATAAGAAAGGCTTTGGTGTGTTGTGGACAGAAGGCAGAACTCTGGGGACTACCAATGTCTTCTTTGAACAAACTGTCCCAGTAGGTTCTTGGCAATGGGTGGCTATGCTCTGTGGCTATATGTTGTAGACTGGGGACAAAGACAGTCTTGGGGGAAGGCAGTGATCTCGGATGTAGCCTGATACCAAAATGTAGACTCAGCGAGAAGCAGATAGGGAAATGAGGTGATGCACATGAAAAGCAAGGCTGCCAGTTAGTGTCTGTCCCCAGGGTGGCTGCTTTGTCTTGGGCAAAAAGTTTTGGGGATGGAAGTTCTCAGTGATGCCAGACTATTTAGTCACACATTTACAGACAGCCTCTTGTTCTGTCTCCACAGATAGTCAACCTCATCTGCAATGGTTTGTCCCCTCAAAACTCACACTGGAGTTTATCCACATTGTGAGGTGTCAAGGTGGTGGAAATCTGATCTGAAAATGTTTAGAGGTGGAGCCTTTGGGGGTTATTAGAGTCATCAGGGTGGAGCTCTATGATTGAATTCTGGTGGCTTTATAAGAGGGATAGAGACCAGAAGAGACACACACACACACACACACACACACACACACACCTCTATCTGTGGCCTGTGATACCCTGTGCTCCTTCTGGACCCTGCCAACAAAAAGGGCCATCACCAAATGTAGCCCCAGTGACCTTGCATCTTTGGAACTATGAACCAAACAAACCTCTTTTTGCTACAACTCACTCAATTTGTGGTATTGTTAACAACAGAAAATGGACTAAGACACCATCCATTGTGAGAATGGGTATTGGGGTAGAGAGGCATTCATCATGTAGTCACGGGCAATTTGATTCACCTTCAATGTCAGTGTTGTTCCCTGTGAAATGGTGAGATCAATTCCTATCTGGTGCCTGTGGGCACTTGCCCATAGCAGATGGCCAGTGAATAGTGCTGCTATTACCATCTTGTAGTTTTACTAGGTTCAGTCTCAAAGGGTGATGTTCTCTTTGTGAATTCTCAGTGCCCAGGAGATAATTATGATCTTGAACTGGTGACAAGTTCCACCCCTGACATGCTATTCTGGTTCCTGCTGTGAATACTGTCTTTAACCTTAGTTATCTAGAAATGGCATCTTCCAGGTATCTACTGATCCTTCAGAGAAGTTAAGCTCTTTATTCTGCCTTGCCCTTTAGTTCTCACTCCCCATGGACCTCACAGATGGTGGCAATAGTGGAGTGGCCTTATCCCATGAGACTGCAGAATCAATCCATGGGCCCCTAACAGTTTTCCACCAGCCCACCCCAACATCCTCATGCTTCAGGATGCCCCTTCCTTTTCAACATTCCAGGCCTTAAGATACCCAATGGTGCCAGGGCCTCTTCTCACAAGTCTTTGGCTGGTTTTGTGTCTAGTGGTACCCATGACCATCAGCACATCCAAGTTTTTATCTACAACCCAGACTCCTGCTGCCATCCCAGTGGCCCTGGTTCTTCATGGCTCCATTTTGGGAGTCCAGGGTTGGGTGGAAAAAAGGGGTTCCAGGCTGAATTTGAGTAGCCAGGGGCAGTGGAAGTCTAGAAGAGATGTTTGGATATAGAGCAGGGCATTATTACCCTGGCTGGAGTGTGCTCACTGGGCACCTGGGCAGCAGGAGGCTAGTAGGTAGCCATCCTCTCTTGGTGGAGCCCTTTCTTTTTCAGTGCACCCCTGATTCTACTGCTGTTCCTTTCTATCCCCTGGCTGTGCACACTAATGTGCTTTATATAAGACCTTAATATGTCTGTCTTTTTAAAAAGTGCATATTATTCTCTCTCTCTCTCTCTCTCTCTCTCTCTCTCTCTCTCTCTCTCTCTCTCTCACTTCTGGGGTCAAGTGATCTTCCCACCTCAGCCTTGCAAGTGCTGTAGCTGGCACATAGGTGCATGTCACCAGGCCTGGCTGAAATGCACACTATTGTTTGGTGTATATGATTTTAGTTTATGTAGTGTGTTGGCCAGATTTCTGTTACTACGATGAACACCTGAGGTAATAAACTCCTACAGAGAAAATATTTATTTTGGTTCACAGTTTACAAGTTTCAGCCCATTACTTTTGGACCTGTAGCTGCACATTATGGTGGGAACATATGGGAGAGCAAAACTGCTCACCTTGTGGCCAGGAGTTCAAAGAAAGAGGAAGGGACTGGAGTCCCACAGCTTCTTTCAGGGCCATGGTCCCAATCACATGAAGACCTCCCACCTCCCACTAGGCTCTACAACCTCCCAGTAGTGCCACCCTCGAGACCAAGACTTGGCCACATGGACCTTTGGGGGACATTTAAGATCCAAACCATAGCACACAGAGTGATATAAAGCTCATTTCAGCCTTCCTTTCCTTCTTTCATTTTTTTTCTTTTTTCTTGTTTGTTTTCAACACTAGGGGTGAACTCAAGGACAGCTGAGATATATCCCCCCCTTTTTTTCAGACAGGGTCTCACTAAGTTGCCCAGGCTGACCTCAAACTTGTGACCCTCCTGTTTAGCCTCCTGAGTAGCTGGGATTGCAGGAGTGCACCACATTTACTTTTTTATGCAATTCTGTTTTAGACTTTTTGCTTGGTCTCTGTATATCTAGTTCTTTTTTTTTTTTTTGGTACCAGGGATCGAACTCAGGTCCTTGCACTTGTGAGGCAGGTGGCAGAACCACTGAGCTAAATCCCCGGCCCTACATCTAGTTCTTTATCTCTAACTGATGCATAATATGTACTTCAGGTTGCATCCCCTGCATTTTGTTTATTTATTGCTCCTCAAAGATAACTGCCCAAGTTATCTCTTAATCTCCACTGCTTCAATGCTTGTAACCATTTTTTAAATATTTTATTTTGAGACAGGGTCTTACCAACTCAATAAATTGCCCAGGCTGAGCTCAACCTCATGGAATTCCTGGCTGAGCCCTCCCAGAGTTCTGGGAGCACAGGTGGCTGAATACCTTCTTGCACAGTCTCTGTGAAACAGTCCCTCTGGGTTATGCACCCACAAAGGGTCTGCCAGTCCATAGGATATCTATGTGTTTAATTTCACTGTCTGCCACTAGGCCATTTCTCATGGTGCCTGAATTGATACACATTCCCACTACCAGTTTGGAGGATTCTCTGTCTGCCAGAGCCTTACCAATACTTAGTTATACAGTTTTCCTAACTTTTTTTTTGGTAATCACATGTGCACTCAGAGATACATCACATTTGTTTCAATTTTCTTTCTTTCTTTACTTTCTTTCTTTCTTTTTTTCTTTCTTTCTTTCTCTCTCTCTCTTCCTTCCTCCCCCCCCCCCTTTCTTTCTTTCCTTTCTAGTTGTAGTTTTTTGAGACAGGGATTTGCCAGGTGATTTAGGCTGGCCTTGAACTCATGATGTAACCCAGCCTATTCTCAAACTTGTGGTGCTCCTCCTCCCTCAGCCTCCCAAGGGCTGGGTTCAATTTCTATTTCGTGGATTCCAAGTAAGCTTGATGATCTCCAGTACCATCCAGGCTTTCGCATTTTGTGAATTTTCTCCATATTTTTTTCTTGCTTTTCTATTGAAGTTACTTTCTTTTTTTTCTTGTTGATAATGCAAGAGTTCTCATATATCCTAGGCATCAACCACTTTTCAGGTTTATATTGCAAATATCTTCTGGTCTACCATCTACTGTATTAAATTTCTGATGACATTAAGATAAGCAAATTTGCCTATAATCTCAGCACTTGAGGAGAATCACCTCAAGTTTGAGGTTAGCCTGGGCTACATAGTGAGACCTTGTCTCAAAAAAACAAAAACAAAAATAAGATAAGCAAATTAGCTAATTTTTTGGTCCACAGCTTGTGGTTCTAAGTTTTTACTTTCCATAAGGTATTCTCTTTTATTTTCTTCTGTTGGTGTTTTAGTCTTGTCATAATTATGTTTGTGATGCATTAGAAATTTGACTTAGTACATATAAGATGTGGGTATAGCTTAATTTTTCTGCATATAGCTTCCCAAAAAAGAATATATTAATATTCAATAACCAGCCTTTCCCCATCAATTTTTATATATTGATGTGATTCTGAATTTTTTGTTTTTGTTGGGTTGTTGTTGTTGTTGTTGTTGTTGTTGTTGTTTGAAACAAGATCTCACAACTTAGTTCAGGTTGACCTTGAATGCCTGGCAATTCTCCTGCCTCAGCCTCCCATGTCCTGGGATTGCAGGCATGCACCATCATGCCCAACTTGAATATTTTGGGGGGTAAGGGTGGGATTTAACCCAGGGCCTCATACATGTTAGGTAAGCCCTCTTCCACTGAGCTACATTCTCAGCCTCTTATTCTGTTTTATTTTGGAGACAGAATCTGCCAAATTGCCCAGGCTAGTCTTGAATTTGCAATCTCCTGCCTCTGCCTCCCAAATAGCTGGGATTACAGGTGTGTGCCCCCATGCCTGGCATGAATTTTTTTATGAGGTCACCAAGGCAAAATGAGTATAGTTAAAGAGTAAACAAGGTCCAAGGGTGAGCCCTGGGCTACTTAACCTGGAAAACTGGGAAGATCAGGAGGAACCAGAAAAGATTAAACAAAGACAGTGAGGTTCTAAGAATTACTGAGAATTAGCCATTTTTCACCAAAGTGATGGTCTCATTAACCTGCCTTCTTAACATTTTCAGTTTTTAGTTTGCTGATACTTTATATTTTGTTATTATTGTCCTTTATTTTACTGATTTCTGCCCATGTTTTATCATTTTCTTCCTTCTTGTTTATTTGGTA